TGAATTATGTGTTTACTGTTCAAATTAATTGCAATAGTTTTCGTATACATAATTTTTGTTAATTGGTAATCCACTCATTTTATTCAACCAGGTAAAGGGAAATCTGAAAATTCAGCAGTCGAGATATGGAAAAATTGTTTGAACGTTTGTGTTATCCATATGGAATAGTAATTTGGTTACCAAACTATTTACATTGTATTGGTAGTGCATATTTGTAGGAAACACGTGCTTGGCCATTGGATTTGTCCATGCGAGGCATAGAATCATAAAGCCACTTACTACTTGTAGTTTGTACCTTTGTTATTAATATTGAGCAACCCTTTGGTTTTATTCAATGTGATTTAAGTATATGCTACTTTGCCGAGGATGTTATATCTGTTAAAATCTATTGCCTGCTTATGGAAGATATTACTGTTTGAGTGGTTTGCTTTTATGAAGAGCATCACTTAAGAGAGACAAAGGTGTTTTTGGATAAATTGTGTTAAAACGAACACATGGTTGTGCTACTGGAGTGAAGCATACTGAATTTAAGATAGTACATTTTGAAGGTGGCTTAAGAGTATGTTACATTAGTTCGTTGCTTTGTGAATTGTAAAAGTGTCGTTACTGGTTGCTCCTGATTGCCGTGCACTACTCTTTTTTTTTGGTTTTGTTGGCAGTTGAGTTTTACTTTTTTCCTCCACTGTTTTGATATAATTAGACAGCCAGACCTGGGTTGGATGAGAAGATTGCAACAAATACTTGGTAGGAAGCACCAGCGCAACCTGCATGTAAGCATGGTTTACTTGTCATTTTTTTATTTTTTACTCTTACGAACTATTCCTGCTGTCCTAAAAGTTCTCGAATTTCTTATTATGACGAGTGTAGGCAATATATGTCCTTCACCCAACTTTCGGACTAAAAGCAGCCGTATTTGGGCTTCAGTTGTTTGTGGACAATGTGGTAAAGCAGTGGAACCTTTAAACATATTTTATGACCTCATGTGTGTTTGTATATTTATTACTAAAATATAACTTTCAGGTTTGGAAGAAAGTGGTATATGTTGATAGACTTCTGCAGCTGTTCAGATATGTACCTCGTGAACAGTTGACCATTCCAGATTTTGTGTTTCAGTTGAGTGTTTAGTTTTGGCGTGGAGCATCTTTACTTTTTCTTTTCACATTGTTATTTTGTACAATAACCATTTTCAATATGTCTTCTAAAAGTATTTAGAATTGGAGCATTCTAGCATGTCGGAATGATGCCCTATGTTACAAAGTATCCTCACAGGATTCTTTTGCCCTATTTGTGTATCAAGTTTTTTTTCTTGTATCTATTTCCTTTTAGTAAATGTAGTTTAGATCATAGGCTGGCACTAATTTGTTTCATACTTCATGTAGGCATGATTTGGAGGTAAATGGAGGAACGGGTCTCATTGTGGATCCCAGAACAAAATATGTGTATAACAGACCGTGAGACTCATGTGCTTATCATTTAGTGGATAAAGAAGTTCACTGCAACTCATGTGCTTATCATTTAGTGGATAAAGAAGTTCACTGCAGTTTCTTCATTATTTGTCTTGCCCTTATTGTCGTTGTTAATAGGGAGAAATGTTTATGGAAGCATTCCTTGTTTTATGTTCCGAACTTTTGGGAAGAGTTCGAGTTCCCTTGTATGTATATGTGATTGACCGTGGAAGCTAATTGGTTGAATTTCTTGGATTATTTGTACATTTCAAGGGTGATATATTGAATAAAATTAGGCTTTGGTTCCTCATTGCATCATTGGGCTTTAGTTATCTGGTGACTATGAACTTGGACGTCTCAATTATATTTTGTTATCTCCTAGAGAAATTATCGCATACTTCTGGCTTTCTAGTACTAGGTTAGGTCAATAAATTATTGGTATAATCAAGTATTCATTAATTGTCATAATGTCTTCATATATGTACCATGTTTATGCAAGTCCAGGATCTTCGAATCAAGAGGTACCATTATGCTATTTCCTCTCCCTCTATTAAAGGAAATGAAATATACAGTTTATTTAGAAGGCTATCAGTGATCGATCAAGATTACTTGAGATACTGATTAAAAGCAAAGTAACGAGGCCTGTCTAATCCATTTATGAATGTCGGGTAGGCAAGGTTCTGTACAAGTAACAAAGTTACAACCACCTATTACATTTTAAAAATCATTGGGTGACGGATGTGTAATGTTTTACAAGTTTGAATAAGAATTACAACTACTTGTAAACACAAACTAATTTATGAACAAAGATTCTAACCATTCGCAACATTCAATCATTAGTCTTACAAACTTCCTGCACTGTTTTACATAAATTTTTTTATTTTATAAGTATTTTTCTAGTGTCGATGAGTTCTTTGGTCTTCATTGTTTTCATCTTCAAATCTTAACTGTAGCATACATTTCTAAAGTTATGGAAAAAAGAATCAGGCGACGTCATTGCCTCAACCTTATACATTCGTACCGAGGAGTCCTCACTATTTTCACCATATTAATTCTCCCAAATTACCATACTTCTCTCCAGATCATTTTACCACTGCAGAATACTGATCACATTATCCACTACATTGCAGCAGCAAGCAAATGACAAGACAATATTTGCCTCCACTGCATACCTCATAAGGTCATCCTCAACAGTTTCCTGTGTGGGGGTAATGGTGACACCAGTGAGTTTCGTTGCATCTGTCGACAATATTTAACTTTCACTTCAACCGGAATCGGATCAATTACAAGTACCAAGCACCTAAGCTCCTGGGTTCTCATATCCAATGGTTATCTTCAATCTTCCAAGAATTAAGTTTATAGAGTTTAGGTTTTGTTGAAGCAAGTAGTTCTGCTTTATCACTACACAAAGACTGACTAACAAAGTATTGCCATTTTGGCACAAGTGTCATTGTTGAGATCCATCTCCACTGAACTACAGCCAGGGACCTTGTTTAACCCTCTTTGTTTTATCGTCTCCCTCACTTGGCTAACCATGCCCCATCTCCCATCTGAAGCATACAGGTTTGACACAAGCACGTAGTAAGAAGCTTCATCAGGGTGCAACTCCAACATTCTCTTAACAGCCACTTCCCCCATATCAAATCTAGAATGAAGCCCACAACCATGGAGAAAAGCTCCAAACACACTAACACCAGGTTCAACAGGCATTCTATCAATAAAATGAAACGCCTCTTCAAGGTTCCCAGAGCGCGCCAACATATCAACCATACACGCATAGTGCTTCATGGATGGAACAAAATTCAACTCCTCACACATAAAATTAAACAACCTGGACCCCTCTCCAACCATTCCAGAATGACTGCAAGCCGCTAATATAGTTGTAAACACCGCTTCATTAGGCTCAAGCTCCTCCTTCAACATTTCCCTAAACAGCACAAGAGATCCATTTCCATCCCCCTGTATTCCATAGCCACCAATCATTGCACCCCACGTCACCACATTCTTTTCCCCCATCGAATCAAACACCATCCTCGCCGCTTTCGTATCCCCACATTTTGCGTAGAAATTCAGCAAAGCAGTGCCAACGTATATGCTGGACAACACCAAGCCATCCTTCAACGACAAGGCATGAACAGAGCAACCAAGCAGAAGCGCGCCAAGGGAAGCACACGCAGAGAGAACACCGACCACAGTAACCGCATCCGGCGAGAACAACTCCAATCTCATCCTCTTGAAAAGCTCCAGAGCCTCACACTCCTCACCACTCTGCGCACAGCCAGAAATAATAGAGTTCCAAGACACAACATCCTTGTCAATTGATTCAAACACGTTACGGGCATCTGAAACAAGGCCACATTTCGCATACATATCAACCAGAGCATTCCTCGCAGGAGGATCCTCCAATCCACACTTAACTACAAAACAATGAAGTAGTTTCCCCATAGCAGAACTACGTAGTTGCCCACACGCAGATAACAAACTCGAAACGGTGACAGAATTGGGTAAAAGCCCTGCCCATTTCTCGTTCTTGAACAACTCTATCGCTAAGCGAGGATAACCTCTCTGAGTATACCCTACAATCATAGCTGTCCATGAAAAAAGATCCTGATGATGATCGGAAAAAGAGAGACTTTCATCAAACACCGCACGTGCGTCCCGAACGCTCCCACATTTGACATAAAAATTCAAAAGCGAGGTGGTCAAGAAAGAATTAACCGAAATTCCGTTTTTGATAACAAACCCATGAACCCACTTTCCCTGGTGCAACCACCCCAGGCTGGTGCAGGCACTGACCACGCTCCCCATTGTAAACTCATTCCCGGGGACGAAGGCTTCTTGCATTCTGTTGAACAAGGTTAGGCCTTCACGAGCGCAGTCGTTTTGCACGTAGGCGACGATCATTGAGGTCCAGGAAACGACGTCGCGGTGTGGTATTTCGTCGAAGGCGCGTTGCGCGTTAGAGAGTAGGGCGCACTTGGCGTAGGCATCGACGAGGGAGGTGAGGAGGAAGCTGTCGGGAGGGAGGGACTTGGTGACGTGGCAGTGTGTGAGTGCGGCCTGGAGGAGGTCACGTGTTTCGGCGGAGGATTTGAGGACGACGGAGAAGAGAATGTCGTCGTGAGGGGTGGGATGGAGGGAGTACCGCATCAGGCGGTAGACTGAAACGACGTCGGAGTGGTTGTCGTTGAGGAAGTAGGAGCGGATCATGACTTTGAAGGAGTAGAGGTCGCGGGAGGGGAGGTGGTCGAAGAGTGCGCGGGCGCGGTGGAGGACGCCAAAGGAGCCGTAGAGGCTGACGAGCTTCGTCGAGAGGAGGAGCTCGCCGCTGAGGCCGAGGACCACCAAGGACGCGTGCAACTTCTGCAAACTTTGCAGGTTAGTGCAGAGGTGGGAGAGGTAGAATGTGGCAGGAAACGGCGGCGGCGGTGGCGGTTGTTCATGGTAGTGGTGGTGGTGACGGAGGGAGCTCCGTAGAAGACGAGGTTTTGAAGCAGCGAGAAGAAGTCTTGAAGCCCTGGATTGCATGATGCAGCTGGACTTTCTTGCCGAAGAATGTGCGACTTTGGTATATTTATTTACCAAAATTATACTACGTGCTCTATGTGGAAGTTGAATGTTATACGAGGTAGGGACTTGAATTACACATTTATTTATTATTATGTTTTTAGTTGTCTTTTTATATTTTCGTGGTTTAATATTTCTTAAACTTGTAAGAAGAAGCTTTGGAATATCTCATCATTGGGAAGAAGAATTCTGTAAAAGATGCATGGGAATATGAACTAATACATCTGTATTGTGTACAGGGTGGATGTCGAACAGGATGGCTAAAGTTACCGAGGCATATGACCTTCCTGCCAGGTTTGTATGACCCCCAACCCATATCTTTTCTTGTTATAGGTGTCCCCTTTTTACTGGATTTGTACAATAATTTTGATGTTGATACAGTGCTTTTTTCATCTGGATTTGGATCTTAGAATTTGGTAACATCTGAGAACTGTTTATCATATGTCCTACTCCAGAAATTATATGGATGCATTCTACTTTATACCCCATTGTTACTGACCCAATCAAATTTCTTAGCAATCTCTTGTCTTGTATTATCTGTATACCATATTTTATTCTTTGATAAATTACCTGCAGGAAAATTATCCACACTGTTGGACCAAAGTATGCGATTAAGTACCATAATGCTGCAGAAAATGCTTTAAGTCATTGCTATCGTTCTTGCCTGGAGCTTCTTGTTGAAAATGGACTTCAAAGGTTCCCCCTCCCCCAAAACGTTATGTCGTTGATTTTTGTACAGCATTTACTGTTTTCATGATGACATGTTCTTCAAAATTCTAAAACTTACTTTCTTTTTGGCCTGTATTTATGTAGCATTGCTATGGGTTGTATTTATACGGAGGCAAAGAACTATCCCCGAGAACCAGCTGCACATGTAGTTATAAGTGAGTTTTTATGTTGTCATGATTTTAGTTTATCAGTTTATTCCTTTTGATGTTGCAAGCTGATGCATGATTTATTAGGAAACCTCATGGGAAGTTGAGAGCGAAATTACTTGTGGGAATTATTATTACATGATCGTTGCTGTTTCATTTCATCCTTACATTAAGTAAATGAAGCACTGATAATAATATTGTAATTATGTAATATATTGTATATAGGGAAATATTGTAATTTGGGGCATAGAATACTTTTGTTGACATTTTGCACTATATATATTTGTGGCTCTAGTTATTATAAGAAAGAAGCTTTGATGTGAACTTAAGACAAGTGGATTCATTCACACATCCTCGTTTTTCTTCATCTCAAGCCACAAATGGCAAAATACAGAAAAATGAGTTGCCAGCTTGATAGTAAGGGAAATTAGAATTTGGTGGAAGGGAAGGGGAAGATAGAATGCCATAGTATGTGCTCTCTTCAACTTGTCTACAAACTCATTGCTATTTACAGAATTTGATATTCTATATTATCATTTCATCAGTGTTTAAATATAGGGGTAACCCGGTTGCAGCTTTGAGTGGGAAAATAGAGTACATGCTGGGTGCATCTTTTTTTTTTTTTTTAAATGTTAATTATACCTTAATGCATAATTTCGTGTGATCTCAGGTTTTTATATCATATCCTTGCTGAATGCATCTAGTATATAGAGTATGATTCTCTTGCAAGTTAACAATTGTTTGCAAATGCTTGAAGGATGATATATTAATCATAGGCTAAAATGCCTTTTATTTAGGAACTGTGCGACGATTTCTTGAGAAGCAATGTTAAGGATCGGTAATGATACAGAGAGAATATAGAATGATAGAGAGATTGAGAAACTTAGTTTCTCATTAACCAAGACGTAGGTATACAAGAGTATATGAACAGTAGAAAAGTAAAATACTGCTAACTAACCGTTAATACAATTATTGAATATTTGGATTAACTCAACACAACCCCTTAATCCAAATTTTCAAAGGACTTAACACCTAGTAGGCTTCTTAACTTTACAAATATGTTTTGTCTCAGTGCTTTGGTAAAGACATCAACAATACGCTCTTCAGTAGGGCAATATATCAGCTCAAGCCTTCCTTTGCTGACTTCTCTCAAAAAGTGAAATTTTGTTTCAATGTGTTTACTCCTTCCATGAAAAACTTGATTTTCGGACAAACTAATAGCAGATTTGTTGTCTACTAGAAGTTGTATAGGCTTCCTACACTTTAGCTTCATTTCATCAAAGAGTGTTTCCGACCATACACATTGGCAGACTGTTTCTGCAGATGAGATATATTCTGCTTCACATGATGAGAGGGCAACCATGTTTTGCTTCTTAGAGCAGCACGAAATTGGTGCTCCCATGTATTTGATCAAATAGTCGAATGTGCTTCTCCTATCAACCTTATCACCACACCAATCAAAATCACACCATACCTCTAGAGCTTCTTCAACATTGGCTGTCAATTTAGGAAAGAAAAGACCGAGATCTGTTGTCCCTTTCAAATATCTCAGAATATGTTTGGCTGTTATCAAGTGTGTCTGCCTTGGATCACCCATAAACCTGCTGATCAAACCAACACCATAGCTAATATCGGGTCTGCTATTACAAATGTAACTGAGAGATCCCACAATCTGTTTGTAGATAGTTGCATCCACTTTCTTCTCACTTGCTTGATCAGTTAAGTGCAGGTTAGCCATGACTGGTATAGGAGCACTGTTACAGTTCTCCATATTGAACCTCTTTAAAACTTCATTTATATATCTTTTCTGATGAAGAAACATTCCATCTTCTATCTGCACAAACTCCAATCCCAGAAAGTAACTCAGATTACCAAGATCTGTCGTTTCAAACTCTTCCTTCATTCTCCTTTTGAACTCTTCAATCTCATCTTCTGAATATCCAGTTACTATCAGATCATCTATGTATAGGCAGATTATTAGAGTCCTCTCCTCTATAACAGATTTCACATAGATACCTGATTCCACAACACATTTCTGGAACCCGAGTCTGGTCAGTAGTGAGTTGATGTGATTATTCCAAGCACGAGGTGTCTGTCTAAGCTCGTATAAGATTTTGGCTCCTCTCCTTCCTTCACAAAGCTAAGAGGTTGTATCACAAAGACTTCTTCTTCCAGTGGTCCATTCAAGAAGGTTGACTTAACGTCCATTTGGCATATTTTCCAATTCTTGAAGCTGGCCACTGCTACTACCAGTCTCACGGTCTCAAGCCTCGTTACTGGTGCATATACATCTGTAAAATCAACTCCAGGTTTTTGTAGGAAGCCTTTTGCCACAAGTCTGGCTTTAAGCTTTGCCACTCCTCCATCTGGTTTATATTTGGTTTTAAACACCCACTTAACATCAATGGCATGTTTATGTTGTGGCAATTCTACCAGCTCCCATGTTCTGTTCTTCTCTATAGCCTTTAGCTCTTCCATCATCGCTTCTTTCCATTCTTTTATATCTATAGCCTGTTTCCAAGTCTAAGGTTTCTGCATCAGCCAAAAATGAAGAGTGCACAAGCTCACCAGTATAGGTTGTATAGTTGTCTGCAAAGACTTCATAATCTGAGTCTAGTGGACGAGAATCTGGTTCTCTGTGACCTTCTGTTATGAGCTTCATCATCTATAATGACGTTTTCAGTAGTAGAGGTGTTGTTTTCTAACCAACTTGGCACATACTCTGGTTGCAAACTTGCTTCACTTTCTTTCCATCTCAATGTTGCAGCCTCGTCTACTATCACATCTCTACTTATAACAATTTCCTTTTTCTCTGGATTGTATAACCTGTATGCTCCTGTTGAATGATAGCCAACTAAGACAAAAGTCTCACTCTTGCCATCCAACTTCCTTCTTCTTTCATCTGGAACATGTTTATAACAAACAAATCCAAAGATTCTCAAATGATGAACCAAGGGCTAGCTTCTTGACCATGCTTCTTCAGGAGTACAATCTGATAATGCATTTGTTGGACTTCTGTTCAACAAATAAGCTGTAGTAGAAACAGCTTCTCCCCACAAATAATGAGGTAACTTCTTCCCTTTGATCATGCATATAGTCATGTTGAGTAGCATCCTGTTTCTTCTCTCGGCTAACCCATTATGTTGAGGTGTATATGAAGTAATGACTTCATGTATGATTCCTTTATCATCACAGAACTCACCAATCTTTTTTGAGTTGAACTCACCTCAACCATCAGTTCTAAACAATTTGATTTTCAAACCAGATTTCCTTTATACTAATGAACAAAACTTTACAAAATATAAGAACACCTTTTTCTTTTCTTTTAACAAGTAAATCCAAATTTTTTGAGTCCATTCATCTACCAAAATCAAGAAATACTTGTTACCTCCAATTGATAGCACATCAAAGGGACCACACACGTCTAAGTAAATCACATCAAGAGGTTGCTTTGCTCTCTTGTGTGCATACTTCTTGAATTCCTTTCTG